GTCGTTTCTCATCATTCCAACCTGGGTGTTTCACAAAACTTCTAAAATGCCTGTTATTTATAAATAAGAGAAAAAAACTTTGTTTACTCTGCCTACAGGGCAACATTCTCAATGGGCTCAGTGAGTGTCTTTTTGTTAGTAGGAAATAGCCCCACTAGACAAAATGCATCATCATTTTATTAGTGTAAAGCATCTCTTTATGGTAGGAAGTACCTCAGTACTTTAAAGAGTCTGAGATTTAGTTTCTGCTGTACGGGTTCATTTTTGTAATATAACCTACATTATATAAAAAGAAAGTCTATACTACTTTCTTTTTACTTTTATTTTTGAGACTATAATTATATACATTTTCCTTTCCCTTTCCTCCCTCCAAGCCCTCTCATATGCCTCTTCTCTCTCTCTCTTTCAAGTTCACAGTCCCTTTGTTCATTAATTGCTATTATGTACATACATACATGCAGACACATAAGCACATGTGTGTTTGAGTGGGTGTTACCCATTGCATAAACACAACCTGCTCAGTCTATATAATGTTACTGGTATGTATGTTTTCGGGGCTATTTGGTATTAGATAACCGAATGGTATGATCTTCCCTGGAGAAAACTATTTCTCCCACTCTCAGCATTCCTTAGTTGTCTGTAGTTCTTTATGGAGAGCTGAGCTCTCCCCCATCCACTGTAGCATGTCTACTGTTGTCCTTGTTGAGCTCAGGCTTAGGCAATCATGTTGGTGAGACTTTATGAGTGTAGCCTCAGACATTACTAGAAGACACAAGCTCACAGCAAACTCCTTCATCCTCTGGCCCTTACAGTCTTTCTGTCCCTTCTTCCAAAATGATCCCTGAACCTTTGGTGCAGGAGTAGATGTATCTGTCGGGACTGGTTTTCACAACTCTGCACTTTGATGGGTTGTGGGTTTTTAACGGTCTCTATCTTTTGCAAAGAGAAGTTTCCTTGATGAGTGTGAGGACCACACTTTTCTGTATGTATTAGGACAAATATTTAGAATGTACCTTAGGATCCTGATGATTTGGTAAAGTGGTGGCTGTAGGTTCTCCTCCAAGATCCACGATTTCACTAGGCCTGAGTTGTTGACTAGGTTTTCAGTACCAGGCATGGTTTCACTCTTGATGAGAGATGTTGTGTACTGTCAAAGTGTGCATGCCACTACTGAACTCTTATGGTTAAAAGCATGCCACAGTGGTCTTCACTGTGGTTCACAAGTATCATAGCTAGATAGGACAGTTGGTTGCTTCCCTTCTTTGGAAGCTTGCCTGGTGCTTTCTTATACAATGTTTATCCTCAGGAAAGAGGCATTCAGATGAGTTCTAGCTCATGAGTCTCTAGGCCCTCTGTCTGAAATGCATGCCGTCTTCAGCAATAGGGATGTATCTTCCATATCTGGAGGACACCCAAGGGCAATATCAGTGGCCTGCAACGATTTTCAAGTCTCTTGGACAATCCTTACTAACGACTCCAAAGAGGGCTTCTCTTGCCTGGTGCTGAGTTTTGATAAATGATAGTATTGGCTCTTGGAAGGAGCATTGTCAGTCCAGATGGAAAAATGCATTTGAACCATATATGTATATTTATACATGGACTAACATATATTACAGGATATTTAGATAGATAATTATGACTTCTTCAGACATTCTTAATATGACCTTCCCTTATTTATCTCCCTCTCCCATCCGTAATTAGAGGCCACTGTTTTTCCTATTCTCCCCATCTGATCACTGTACCCTGCTATTCCTCTCTTTGGTGTTCCTTGGCATCATCCACCACCCTGGCAATGGTCCCTTTTTATTTTCCAGGGGTTTAGAGTTATTCCTAGATTTGTTGTAGGATATGTTGTATAATGTATTTTGATCATATTCTCTTCTGCTCCCCCAGTTTGTCCCAGATCATCTTCCCTTGCCCATCCCCCCAACTTTGTGTTCCACCCCCATCAAGACCAATTTGTGCTGCCTTCACTGGAGACACCCTACTACTATTATTTGGCTGCATGGACATAATATTAAAGCATTTCTGTAGGGCCCAGGGTCTACCCCTCCTCCTGGGGTTCATTTTGAGGACAGTCTCTGGCTAGCCAGCATTTCTTGTTTGTTCCTGTGCTCCCTCTGCCCCGCCTGGTCATTAGCTATAGGGCATTGTTGACTCCACCTTGAACATGGTAATTTCCCACCTGTCTGGGGGGTATTTCATTGTGCAGCAGCTAGGTATTTAAGGTTTTTCCTAAGTTTGAATAAACAACATTCAGCTGATCTCCTTACGAATGACCCAGGTCTCTTGTGTGTTCTTTCAATCTCCAGACCCTTGCCCGGCTCATGTTTGGTACAGCAGCACACAAACTGTACCGAGAGCAATCCAGTTGCAGGCGTTACAGTTGGAGACACCACTGGGATATCAGGTGTTACACATTTCCTAATGACAGACGTGTTCACATACTCTAGACAATCCCTCATTGATGCTCCCTCCCCAAATTATTCTAAATTATATCAAATTGACAGTGAAATTTAGCCACCACGCTTAGAAATATGACTTAAGGAAGAAACAAATATTGAGAAGGTGTAATCATCTAGAAGATGGGTGACCTAGATTCCCCCTCATCACCTTTAGCTCATCAAAGTTTTCAATGACCTCACTGATGCTAAATCTAGTTTTCCACTCCTCATTCCACATCACTTGGCAATGTTTAGTCTATTGAGGATTCTCTTTATCTTGAAATCGTCTTTTGGTTGTGCTCTCTCTAGCTACACCGTCTCAATCTCGCTGGACAATACTGAAATATCTCAGTTCACCCTGGGCCTTTTCTCCCTCTACACAATTTCATCTACATTCATATCATTACTAATACTCTCACCTTCAAAATAATTACACCCATGAATATTCAGACATAAATTCACTCCTTTGTCAATGTCTCCACTTATTTGGGTTTCTTAAAGATACCTCAAAATTCATATGTCAAAAACTAAACTTCTGATCTTCCCCCTCAAGCCTAGCTAAGACTTCTTCTAATGCTATCTTTGTAATGGCACCACCAACTATCATTTGCACAATACAGAAAATGATTCATCTCTGATAGCCTATATTTTACTAAGTTCTATTTTATCTGGTATGTCTCAGTTCTGCATCCCTGTTATTATCTTCTAACATGCTCTCCTGTGCACACTCTTGTATCGTTAATGCTTTCTGCAACAGCTAAAAATTTTTCAACTGTTCTCATGATGCCCTGTTCCCACTTAAAAGCCTTCAGTGGTTTCCTATTATTTTTGGGAAAATGAACAAAATTAAAGTGGAAACGTAGTAGAAGACCTGGCTTCATATTTCCACCACTCTGCTCCCATTGTCCCATGATATTCCACACACATTTTCTTCTTTAGTTCCTTACAAAACTTAGGAACATCTGCCTGAAGTTCTGTACATGGGTTCTGTTTGTCTATACTTCTCTTTGCTTTCTCCATTTATCCAATCTCTATTATATTTCAGGCAAACTATCATAACCAGTCAATCCAGTCATTTATTCATTGAGAAAATGTTATTCACCAGATTTAGTTCAAAACCATGTGAGACTGATAGGCAAAGTAGAACCCTTATAGAGTTTATATATTAGTAGAAGGAGGGGAATAATTAATGATACAAATAAATAACTTTATTTATATAATAGATTCAAAGGGGATAAAACATTCTAGAGATTCAAGAGCACTTTGCTGTGCCTAGTTCGATATCTGGCATATAGTTAGCATTTAATAAACATTTTAAGTGGGTAAGAATAAAGGAATGTTCACAGTAAGCTATAAAAGAGCAATAATTGTAAAATGAAGAGAAAGAATTAGAGATGCCAATCAAAAAGAAACAATGAGAGGCCTTAAAAGGTAATAGTGTCTTGAATCATTTTAACCATTTCAAATAGTTTGTAGTTATGGTTCCAGTATTATACTGCCTTACTGGCATGTGTTTGCGTACACACACACACACAAAATTTAACAGTGAAGTTGTCTAGAGTAATTCAAATAGGTCACTCTTGTAACCATAGTTCATAATATCTAATTAGGGCATGTACATAGGTTGTATACATAGCCCACTTTTACAATCCACCATCATACATAATCCAAAGTCATTGGTTTTCTATGGATAAAAGACTGATCTATTATCCATCACTTACATTAAAGTTTCAGCTGTTCAGTCCCCTGCCTGTTTTATAGACAAATCTCTTATATTCAAGAACTCTTGCTTTATTTTATTAATATACCCTTAGAAACAGGATCCTGGGTTTCCATTAATGTCAGATCCCTGCTACTTAAAGGCCATCTTATACTCCTAGAGATATGGCATGTAACCCTTTTTGATTTTGAATGACCTTCAAGATCTCAAATACACTCGTGCTCAGCTTCAAGCCTCCTCTGATGGACTCCAAATGGACTGTAGTTATGAGCGACTCTTAAAGTCTTTTGTCTTTTTAAGGGCTCATAGGAAGATTTGTATACTTTCTGTGTAACTCCTTAGGTAGCCCTTAGGAATTTTCACCCAGACAAGTGGTCTGTATAAACTCCACTTCTGTGGAACCGATATGAAGGCACTTACTATATCTTCCAAAAAACCTGCTTCCTCTCCTCAGTTCCAAATCATTTCCCAGAAGGGATTCCTTGCAAGCTACCACAAGACTGTGAACACTCTTCTTATCCAGGACCTTGACACAGCCCCCATCACAGATGTCCCTCAGGATTTAGGGTCCTACATCTTCTCTCCTTTTCTGGGCCCATGCTCACTCAAGAGTGTGCACACTCCGCCACCCCCTCCATCAGCAGAACTTTGAGATTCCCTGCTGGCCACTCAGAGATACGCTACACACCTCCCTTGCACCCTAACCCTGAGGAAACAGTCACGACGCGGTAACCCACAAGGGCGACTCCTCAGAGGTAGGGCCATGAAGAGTCCCCAGTCCCCTCAGGCCCAAGACAGGCGCCTCGGCTTTGCCCTGCTCCACAGCTCTCACAGACCTGCCTCAGGCGCCGTCTGGCTCCGCTCCGCCATTTTTGTTGTCCGTCAGTCTATGAGCCTACGCAAAAACCACTGGGCAGTGGGGAGCGAGCGGTGGGATCCGCGGGCTGACAGAAGCTCCCTCAGGAAGACGCTGCACGGTGGTTGCTAAGGAAACCCGCGGCCCCGGTGCAGCCCGCTGGAAGCAGGGGGCGGGGCAGAAGAGAGCGTGCAGCCGAGGCTCCGCCCCCCGCACGAGCGCACCTCCTTCAAGTTCCCGCCTACCACTGGGGACTCCACTGGGTTTCTTCCCCAGTCCAAGCCCTAGTGTCCTGGGAACTGAGCATGCTCAGCCGCCAGTGTCGTGCAATAGCTAAATCTGTAAGGATGACACTGTGTTGCCCCTGGTGCCAATGAAAGTGCCTAGGTGGGTTGACATTTCGATAGTTGGTGGTCAATTCTAGGGACTTGGAACAAGTTTCTTAATTTTTCAGCACTTTTTCACTTAATATATTTGGCCTTCATGGAGATGCTGAGAGACCTGTATTCAAGTTAAATACATTGAGAACTGTATGCCTAACACAGTCAAAGAACACAAGTTCTAAGGCCCCTGACTCCTTGCTCCTCTGCAACTAGGGCATTTATCTCCTAATTTCCATCCGAATGGCTGTAGGTTGCTTTCCATTGCTTAAATTAAACTCTCTCCTATTTCCTAGTTCTGTTGTCCTGGGCCTAGCTGACTTAAAAAGTTTGAGAAAATCCCTTGATGCAGAAAATAAAAGAGACCACAGAGTTTTTTAGATAAAATGCTGGCATCGTGCATGTGACTATTCATTCGCCTTCGCTAAAACATGGGACCAGATAGTGCACCGTAAGATCTTTTACCAAAATTGCCGTCAGGGTTGGTTGGTCTGAAAAATCGGTAGATATGGATAAACTCTACCCATCAGAAATACCTTTGACACTTAAGCAGTTAAAAAAGATCACAACCTATCCCGACAACCAGCAAATTGAATATACACATGCTGTTCACAGTCCTGATCACGAGTAAAAGCTGTGAAGGTGGTGAGGATCCCTTGTGGAAGCAGTCTTTTGGGGTTGAGCAAGACAAAGGAACTTCATTAAGTATAGGGAGATGAAAAGAAATAGAATGAGAAGTATCTGACTTCCTCCAGCGCTGTGGCCTTGTGGCTTTGTAGTCTTGGGAAAAAAAGAAAAAGAAAAACTTAAACTCATTGAGCCTCAGTTTTCTTTTTCAACAAACTGTAATAAAAGCACCACCTGCCACCGAGAGTTGCTCGGCATCACAAATGGGTGATGGACAGAACTGCATTTGCTTAATATTAATCCAGTAAAAATTTAAAAACCTAATATGCTTAGGATATCAAATTAAACATCCCCTGATGCCTCTCGGGAGCCAGATGCTGTGCAGTAAAGAGGAAAATACAGCACAGAATAGCACGGTACTGCTCAGATTTTATTTTAAATAACATTTAGAGTCCTGTTGTTTAGTTGTATTAACCACATTTCAGGGGCTCATTGCTCATTTCATGTAGGTAGCAGCTAACATACTAGTCAGCATATGTGCAGAACATTTCCATCACCACAGAAGGTTCTGTTAGACATGGTTGGTAGAAAATGTCAGGTGGGCAGGGGAGGTGAAATGCCTAGAAAGTTAGCTAACAGTTCAGAGAGTAGTAAGCAGACAGGACAGTTCAGTACCAGTACTGTGCTAAGAAATGTTACTGCATGTCATTTTCTCACTCCCACCCCCCCCAAAAAAAATCCATGCCTTTGAAAGCTTGCAAACTAGTTGGGAAGAAAAGATTGAGATATAAATATCTAGTTTACAATTCCAGTGTGGTAAGAACTGACGGACACAATGCTCAGAAGCATGTAAGAGCACCAATCATCATCATCATTCTCTTCATTTCCTCCTTTCTAGAGGAAAAAAAAAACATTGCAAAGTAAAAAAAAAAAGGTGTTTATTGCTGAGACCAGGTAAATATAAGAACAATGTTTTAAGTGGAAAAACTTTTGTTTTGGTGCACAGTTTCAGAGGTTTTAACTCATAGTTGTCTGGTTCCACTGCTGTGCACCTAAGGACGGGCTGACCACTGTGGCAGGAAGTGTGTGGTGGAGCAAGTCAGCTCAATACACCGTTCTTAGGAAACCTATAAAGAGAGAAGGACAAGTGGAGATACAGAACACTCTTGCTTATTGGTGTACACTCACTGTGCATAGTAATGGATTTCATAAAGATAATTTCTATCCTTCTGCAAGTCTTACCACAATCCCCAATACATTTTCACACATGTGTGTGTGTGTGTGTATCTATGGAAATAAATAGTGAATGCATAGTTCATATAGATGGTTTATTTATTTATAAAAACCTAGAATCTACAAAGGAAAACAAAATAACTACTTGATATTTGTCTTTCTTAGTCTAGCTTGTTTCACTTAATAAGATGGTGGCCAGTTACATCCAAGTTCTGCAAATGTCATGATTTCATGCTTAGACCAAACCAAATTCTGTTGTATACATATGCATGTTTTCTTTTTTTATTAATTTATTTATTTATTAAAGCTTTCTGCCTCCTCCCAGCCACCGCCTCCCATTTCCCTCCCCCTCCCCCAATCAAGTCCCCCTCCCTTATCAGCCCAAAGAGCAGTGAGGGTTCCCTGCCCTGTGGGAAGTCCAAGGACCACCCACCTCCATCCAGGTCTAGTAAGGTGAGCATCCAAACTGCCTAGGCTCCCACAAAGCCAGTACGTGCAATAGGATCAAAAACCCATTGCCATTGTTCTTGGGTTCTCAGTAGTCCTCATTGTCTGCTATGTTCAGCGAGTCCGGTTTTATCCCATGCTTTTTCAGATCCAGGCCAGCTGGCCTTAGTGGGTTCCCGATAGAACATCCCCATTGTCTCAGTGTGTGGGTGCACCCCTCGCGGTCCTGAGGTCCTTGCTCGTGCTCTCTCTCCTTCTGCTCCTGATTTGGACCTTGAGATTTCAGTCCGATGCTCCAATGTGGGTCTCTGTCTCTGTCTCCTTTCATTGCCTGATGAAGGTTAATATCCAGGAGGATGACGATATGTGTTTCTTTGGGTTCACCTTCTTATTTAGCTTCTCTAGGATCACGAATTATAGGCTCAATGTCCTTTATTAATGGCTAGAAGCCAATTATGAGTGAGTACATCCCATGTTCCTCTTTTTGGGTCTGGCTTACCTCACTCAGGATAGTGTTTTCTATTTCCATCCATTTGCACATATGTATGTTTTCTTGATCCACTCATTGCCTGTTAACAGTCACAGGCGGTTTCACAGTTTGGTTTTCATGAAAAGTGCTGCAATAAACAGGAATGTTCAAGTATGCCTCTGGAGTTCAGTTTTACATGTAAGTGGTAAAGCTGGTTCATCTGGTAATTCTATCTCCAGATTTTTAAGGACCCTCAATGCTTGTGTCCACAGTTGCTGAACTAATTTACATGTCTTCCCACCAGTAATCTACATGGGCTGCCATTCCCACACATCCTCACCAACATTTATTATTTGTTAACTGTGATAGCCATTTTGATCAGGGTGATAAATAATCTGTTCGTTTTTTTAGTATTCATTCTTCGGAGGCCAAGAATGTTAACATTTTTTCTTTTGTATATGGAACATGTCTACATCTTTGGAGAAATGTTTTATCATTTCACTAGGCTATTTGTTAACTGGATTAACTCAGTTTCTGGTATATGTCTTAAGTTCTTAATATAGTCTGGATATATTAACACTTTGCCAGATATATATCTAACAAGGACTTTCTCCCATTCTGTAGACTGTCTCCTCACTCGGTTTATTTTCACTGATTTTGCAAAAGCCTTTTAATTCCAAAAATACATTTGTCAATTGGTGGTTCTGTTTCCTGAACTATGGGGACATTTTTTTCAGAAAGTTGTTGTCCATAACTATATCTGTATTTTCTTCAAATAGTTTTGGGTATTATATTGATTTTTGATCCATTTTCAATTGTTTTCTGCAGAAGGTAAGAGATACAGATCTAGTTTATTCTTCTATATTTGGATATTATTCAGTTTCCCCAGCACCTTATGCTGAGGGAGCTTTTTTTTTCTCCGTTGAATGTGGTTGTAGGTATAACATTCAAAGGTACACCCTCAGTGACCTACTTTCTTCAGCTAGGCTCCACTTCTCCCAAAATATTCCACCATCTGGGCATTGAGTTTTTAGCACATTAGCTTATGAAGAATTCCATATTCAAATCATAACAAGTATGATCAGCCAGGTGAAGAGTAAAATGGAAATAAGAGAAAGAGAGACACTTTAAATTTTTTAACAAAAATTGTCATTTATATCCACTTTGCTTACATTGATTTGGCCATCTAGAAATGGCCTAACTTAGCTTCTCAATTTACATTTAGAAGAAAAGAAAAGCTATTCTAGGGCTGTAAAAAATATTTGAGGAATTCTTTTTGGTACCTTAGAGTTTTATATTTTGCATATTGATCCAATGAAAATTCTTGTGGATGTAGGTTGGGAAACATGTATCCATCAACTCATTTCCCCATCAATTAGAGGTGTCATCTTAATAGTTTGCTAAATTCTAGTATTTGTGTTGACTGCAGAACTCTCTCTCTCTCTCTCTCTCTCTCTCTCTCTTTCTCTCTCCTTCTTTGAGACAAGGTTTTACTGGAGCTTGGAGCATGTCCTGGAACTAGTTTCTGTAGACCATGCTGGCCTCGAACTCACAGAGATCTGTCCGCTTCTGCTTCCTGAGTACTGGGATTGAAAGCATGTGCTGCCACTACCCAGCAACCGCTGAACTTTCTATTCCATCTCATTAACACATCTATGAACTCATGCACTGATACAAACCCATTTATTAATGTACTCTGATATTCCCTAATGTCAGGAGGACCTGTCTCATTTTAAATTAATCGTTTTTCCATATTACACCGTATCTTGACATCTTCAAAAGCAAAGTAACTTTGGAGAAACCAAACTACTCAGGTTGAGCTAATTCTTAAAGATAACAAGGGGTTTCACAGTCAGTCTCGAGTTTATAGCCTCAAACATCTTCTTATCTAAGTCTAATGCACTAAGCCAGTATTTTCCCTTAACCTACCAGGTACAAAA